ATGAAGTCAGATGACACGCCAGCCCCCCAGGTTAAAAAGCAATACTGTCCCGTTTTGCTGTTCACAGCTAGGGACGGCCTCTGCGGCAAAGTCAAACCACCCCACCACCTACCTACCTACCTGCCGCCGCAGCAAACCTTCGGCTCCCGCTCAGCGCTGATGCTGGTGATGAAGGCGATGGAGCGGCCGCACATTGCTCGGTACCCCCCCCCCCAGCAGCAGCGCTCTGCTGCTGGGGGGGTCGGGACCCCCCCCCCAGCAGCAGCGCTCTGCTGCTGGGGGGGTCAGACCCCCCCTCCTAGCAGCAGGGACGGGCTTAGAAGTGCGGGGGGGGTACCGAGCAATGTGCGGCCGCTCCATCGCCTTCATCACCAGCATCAGCGCTGAGCGGGAGCCGAAGGTTTGCTGCGGCGGCAGGTAGGTAGGTAGGTGGTGGGGTGGTTTGACTTTGCCGCAGAGGCCGTCCCTAGCTGTGAACAGCAAAACGGGACAGTATTGCTTTTTAACCTGGGGGGCTGGCGTGTCATCTGACTTCATTCGGCGAGATCACACACCTCGGATCAACTATTGGGAACTCGTCAGCATGCTGACCAGCCGCCCTTCTGCCTTGCTGGCTCGCAATTGATCAGCTGTCAACTCCTGCAGCTGCCAGATGGCCGATCAGCCGTCGTCTTCGGGCAATCCCACGCCACGCACTCGACCGATGTCAAGCTGGAAGGTTGTTGGAGTTTTTCGGCCCTCTGCTGGTGACGTCGCGCCTCGGTCTGCGGCGCTCCTTGACCGTGCGCAGCGGTCATCATCCGTGCCACCGATCGCGTTAGAGCATGCAGCAGCCGCTTGGCTCGTGGTGACGCTCTCCGCCGCGTACGCGCGCCACGGCCACGGGAGGCCGCAATCGGCAATTTTCTGCGCAGCCGTGGCCGCCGAGATGGGTCTCCTTGTCCTCTCCGTCATTCTCAGTGCACGTAAGGATTCGCGTTGGAAGTCGTACCACGTCAATTTTGTGCGCGTGACCTTACTTTTCATGCACGTCTTGGGTGTCCTCTGCGACGACCGCGAGACCGTCGCCTTTGTCTCTCAAGCGTTTTTCGAGCTCAACCGAGGCTCCATGCTCACGCCTCCAGCGCTGCTCACGGGAATCATTCATGGCTCGCAGCCCCTGTCACTATGGGCTCGCGTCCGGCTGCTGGGCGCCCAGCATGTGTGGATCATCATTTGGGCCGCAGCGTTCCGCTTCCGCCAGTTCGAGCTGCCTTCTGGCGAGTGCCTCCTCATGGCAGCAAACACGTCGGTGGGCTGCCTCGGCGGCTGCGTGGTGCAGAGGTACCTGGATGCGCCTCGTGTGACGACGAAGGAGCCGCCTTCCGCTCCGTCCCTCGACTCCCGCCGCCGGTCCCGCAACTTCATTATCGCAATTCTCACGGTTGGCGCCGTCGCCACCAAAGGTCTCATCAGCGCCCTTGTACTGGCTCCTGCATCCCCATCATCTCCAGTGGTTTCGCCACCCGTGCCGCCGAGGACGCCACCAGCAAACCAACCGTGGGCGGAGAGGGACCACGTACGACGCTATACCGTTGCTGCGCGTCGCGGGCGAGCTACAGAGACGCATAGCCTTCAGCAATTCGGCGAAACAAAAAGAAAACGCCGGCTCAACACTTTCGGATCGCCACCACCCTCGCCGCCGCCGCCGTCTCCGCCGCCGCCGTCTCCGCCCCCTCCGTCGCCGCCGCCGCCCCTCGTCGCCGCCGCCAAGCCCCTCGCCCTCGCCCCCGCCTCCC